AGCTCATTCAAGAGATTTGGCTCGGGGCTGTTACTGCTGCTTTCAAACCCCTGGAGAAGGAGGAGGATGGTACCAGCCTCCTGCTCGTTGCTCCCAGTTAAGAGTGTTTCCTGCCCCTCTTGTCTGCACGCCTCTGTAATGCTCTGTTTGCTGCCCTAATGTAAATGCAATTTTTTTTCTTTGCAGTGCAGACTGCAACTGCAAATCAGAGCTGGTTCTGTGCTGGATCTTGTAGGCTTTTTTTTTTTTTAAAGAAAAAAAAAAAAAGGAGGGACATGGAATGGATGGGCCAGATCTGCTGGGGTTTCTATTCCGCGGAGATGCAGCCCTTCATTTTGGAGGAGACAGGCTTGCCCGTCAGCTCTTGTGTGGGCTGTTGCACAGGGGTGAGCTGGAGCCTGTTGGAGCAGTCGTGCTGAGCCGAACCTTGTGTCCATCCTGTGTTAGTAGCTCCCCTTGCTCTGATTTCTGGCATGTGCCCAGCTGCTCCAGCGCTGAAGCGGTTCCTCGGAGTGGGTGGGCAGCGGGAGGTGGGAAGGACGGGGGAACCTATGTAATTCTGCCCGCATGTATGTGTGGATGGTGGGATCAAACTGCTCTGGCTCAAAGGTACTGGAGAAACAGCCCTGGGCACAGCTGCCTTGTGGCAGGGCTCTGCCCTCACCCAGAGCTCTGGAAAGCTCTGGAAAGCTTGCTCAGGTTTGGATGTAATCAAAAACTTACTGGAGATGCTCCCACCACTCTTTGTGCCCCTTCTCACAGGCTGGCAGTACCAGAGCCCCTCTCTTAGTTGACTTTTCTTTCCCAGAAAAAAAGACTGGAAAGGAAAAGAAGAAGAGCAAAAAGGTGTCTTCGGAAGGGGAGCCGACAGCAGATGGCTCTGCTGAGGTTCACAAGAAGAAGAAGAAGGTATGTGCAAGACCCTGGGACGGCGTACCATGGGGAGAGCCGTTCCGAACCACGGTTGTGACGCTCATCCCTGCAGCACGCCAGGCTGGAGAGGAGCAGAGCCGTGTCCTGGCCTTGCTGGCAGGACAGAGGAGGCCGCAGTTAATTGTGGCTAGTCTTGAGACACCCTGACCTTTGGTTGTTTAGGATTGGGGTGGCTTGAAGAAGGGCTTGTTCCTGTACCGTTGCCCCAGGAGAGATCCCTTTCCCTGGAAGGGTCTAACCCAGGGGCCCTTTTGGTGGCACAGAACCTGCCCAAGGAGTAAGTGCTGCTCTTCAGCTGTCTGTTCATCTAGTTGTTTTCAGCAGAAACTGGAGCTCCTGAGGGCTCGGCAGGCTACTGCGTCCCACCCCAAGGGCTAGGAAAGGGGGCAGAGGGACACTATAGGATCTTCCTCATTTAGGGATATGTCCCTGTCATTATGGCAGCCAAGAAGCCTCTGTGGCTTGTGGCTCCACTGGGTCCTTCATGTCTGTGGTGCAGATGATACTGATTTATTTTTCACCCTTTTCTTTTTAGAAGAAGAAAACAGCTGAGCCTGAAGGATTGTGAGAAGGTACATGGTCTGTGGGGACTATCAGTTGGTACCTCTGAACGGCGGTAACCTTGGCCAAATTCAGTTCTCCTGGGCCAGTCTTGGGAAGACGGTGTGCCCTCTAACACCCACTGAGTCGGCCTGGCCTTAGATTAGAGGGCCGGGGAGTGGACCGGTATAAGGAAAGTCATGCAGCCGCGTGCTGGCTTCTCTGGATGTGTTTGACCTCAACTCTTTAGCTGCTGACAACTGGATGTCCAGCCTGGACGTTGCTGTCCTCTGTCACCAGCAGAGATAAGTGGCCTCTGGCAGTGTCCGTCTGTCCCTGCTGACCACAGGGAGCTTGGAAAAGTAATGTGGATTAGATGGTGATGTTGTAGCCACCTGGAAGTGGACCAGATGACTCTGCCCTTGCTCTCCTCAGCTGTAAGGCTGTTCTCCTCCTCCCCATCCCTAACTCTTTTAACTCCTCTCCCCAAAGGTACCGCATCCCTGTGATTAAGGATTTATGGGTGAAGATCAAACAGAAGAGAGGAAAAGGAAGCTCAGCAGGAGAATTCCAACATTTTTTTTTAAATAATAATTTATAACTTGTTTTAACTGTGACTGTTAGAGCAGAGCGGTGTAACTTTCTGCCTCCTCCTGCCCCGCTGGGGCCCAGAGATGTGTTTATTGCCCCTCCTGACAGCTCGCCTGTTGCACAAGAACTGAACTGAAGGAAGCAGTTTGACCAGAGAAGAGCCAGCTTGCATAAACTGCTTTCCTCCTAGTTGACACCCAGCCATCTCTTTCTCATCACAGAGCTATATTTTTAAGAGAAACTTTTACCTCTTTTTTTTTTTCTTTTTTTTTTCTTCTTCTCCTTCCCCCTTCTGTGATTTGTGGTGTCAGTCCTTTTGCTACTATGGAAGAGAGCTCTTGGGTTTACTTTTTATTCTAACACTGAGGGCAGTGATTATCGAGTCCCTGGAGTTGCACTGAACAGCTGTGGCCGGCAGCTGTTCTCGGCCAAGGCGGCATAATTTTTTGTGGGTTTTTTTTATGGCATAGAAAATAAAAAAAGAACGGTGGGATTTTGCTTCAGCTGCTTTCGAGGGAGGAAGGGAGGTGAGAAGCCCTTCGGCTCGGGGACCAAACCCAGGCCAGGGAGGCAGGGCGGGCGCTGGGGCTGAGCCAGGGGCAGGGCTCAGCCCTCTCTGGAGGGCGTTGCAGGTAGGAGGGCAGAGCCCGGCTTCCACCCAGGCTCACAGGCACCACTCCAGCCCCGGGGGAAAAACGAACCGCTTTCTGCCTGCTCCCCGAGGAAGAGCAGACACTGTTGCTCCTCGGATTTGAACTGCGTGTTGTTCTAGTGTTGGCTTGTGTTTTTTTCGTTACTAAAACGCTGTGTAGGGGCAGGGGCCGAGAGCGGGTTTGCGCATCGCCCTGTGCGGACCCAGCCTGCTGCCTCGCTGGCAGCTGCTGCCCTGCCCCTTGTACCGGGCTTCGGCCTGGTTTCCTCGCTTCACTCCCAGCCCTGGGGTTTAGCAGGTGAGGAAAAAGGGACGGGATCCCCTCGTGCTCCAGCGCAGCCCCTGTGCAGCCTGGGTTCGGGCTCTGCTGGGGAGGGCAGAGCTCTCCGGCTGCCGCCCTCGCACCTGCGCAGCCTGGGTGCAGGAGGGAGATGGCTCAGGTGCGGGGGGGCTGCTCTCCTCCTCTCCCCCCACGCTGCAACTCACTTAAAGGTGATTTCAGCCTCCCGAGCTGTGCTGGGGTGCAGGGGAGATTGAACAAGTGAGGGGGCAGGAACGCGGGAAGGCATATTGTCGATGGGGGGGGGGGGGGGCACAGATGTCCGAGTGTCTTTGCAGAGATTTTTGTTTTTCCCTTTTTTCTTAAGATTTGTTTATTTTTAACCTAGGACAGCTGCAAACTCCTTGCGAGCACTGCCCTGTTAGAGTTGCTTACAAGGCTTTCTTACTCAAAAGCTTATTTGAAATAATTAGCTTGTGAGGTCACTTATACAGGAACTATCAGATATATTAAAAAAAATTAGAAGCCCCTCTGACTCCAGGGTCAGCTCCTCTGCCCGCTGTTACCCACTGCTGTGGCTGTTCTCCAGCCTGAAGGCAAAAGCTGAAGGTGAGCATCTTATCTCTGCTGAAGATAAGATAAGCTCTACAAAACTGAGCGCTCCACAAGAAAAACCCTCTACTCTAATAATCGTAACGGGGCTTCAGCCTACGGGGGTCAGTTAAGAAGCTGGTGGAGGTTCTTTTGCTGCTTTTAATGTTCACTCGGTGTAAGAAAGCATTAGTGGCTCATCCTTCAGCAGGGGGGAGCTCTGCGCCTGCCGCTGCCCAGGTGCTGCGGGGTGCCGATGAGCAAAAGGGAAGAGGGTTTATGGGTCCGACATCGCTGAAGTGGCTTTCCAGCCTGCTTTACCCGCCCTCTGAGGGAATGCTTTTTGTCTCTGGCGCTGATCCTGGTGGCAGGAGCAGCCCCGTCTGGTGCCCTGCAGCAGGGGAAGGGTCACAACCGATGCCTTGAGGGGCAGGAGCGCGCGGGGGTGCTCGCTGTTAATCATCTCAGGAAAGCAATGTAAGAGCAGAAATGAAATAGAGCAAAAAAAAAAAAAACCCAAAACCAAACATGGGAGCTGGGGTGCTGAAGAGGGGACAGGCCTCTCTGCTCGTGTCCTCTTCTAGTTGGCTGTTGTGGGGGAAAGAGAGGAGGGAGTGGGTAAGATGGCAAGCCCAGGCCGCTTTTGCCCCCCGTCTCCATCACAACCTCCGCTGCCCCAGCAGTGCCCTTGTGCTGCTGTGGCTCCTG